ATATATATAAATAAATATATAAAGAGATATATATATATATATATATATATATATATATATATATATATATATATATATATGTATATATAATTTATATATATATATATATACATACATACATAGGGGGCATAAGAATTTTAGAAAGGCTTAGGTGGGACATAGCATAAAAAATGTAGGAAATACTGCTCTAAATACAATTAACGTGAGGAGTTTTCTCCCCTTGTTTTTAAAAATCTCTGAATCAATATTTGGTATATGATTTGTTTCGTGAGTTTTTGTTTTTCATAAAAATATATATATATATGCTAAATCTATATATAGTAAAACTATGTCATTTAATGACAAGTATAAATAAACTGTCACAATAAAAATAAAAATGTGATGATAATAAAACGCAATACAAAAATTGAGTCTCGCTATTAAATATAACCGGATTTCAAGCTGATAATATTGAAGTTCGATAACCAATTCTTAAGATTTTGTTCACTATTTTTTTTTATTGATTTGGCAAAATTTAATAAAAAAAATTGTACAAAATAATTAGTGCCCGTTTGTCATTGTTTTTAGTTTAAATTATTTTAGATTATTTTTTTTAAAAAAAACTTTAATTCATTTAAAAAAAAAAAAAAACTTAAAAAACATTTTTTACCAGATGTGGCTCTACTGATAAGGACCTACAAAAAATAATTACAAATCTACAATTGAGTCATTTGTTGCAACTGCTGTCTCGCGTTTTATTACGGGTTGTGGCATATCATTTCACCAACAGCAGATCATTATTATAATTTGCTTTATAGTTAGGTGACTGACCGCAAAAAAAAAAAAAAAAAAAAAAAAATTATTAAAATGAACCAACCCGTAATGACTTTCGAGTTTTACACGTTGCACAGTACGCCTCTTGTCGTCTGTATCGCTCGCATGCGGTTACCGGAAATTTGATCGAAAGAAATGTCGTCGATGGTAAATTGATAGACGGAAATTTGATCGAATGGAAATTTGGTCAAATCTTTTTTTCAGTTCACACGTTAAAATTTTCGTCAAATTTCCTTTTGAACGCACTATAATACTACATAGTAAAAAAATAATGCGTTCAAAAATAAATTTGAAGTAAAATTTTAACATAAAAACTGAAAAAAAAGGTTCCGACCAAATTTCCGTTACATCCTATTACCGTCGATCGAGTTACCGTCGACGAAATTTCTTTCGATCAAATTTCCGGATACCTAACATGCGAAATGGTTGACCACAACAGCTACAAAGAAGACTCTTGGTTTTTTTTTTTTTAGTAAACCATGTAGCCTATAGCTAGCCACCTTATACAAGCGTCTGTGTCTGCCACTTCGGCTAGCAATGAAGCCGTGCTAAAAAGCTTCACTTCTGGCGAGTATTGGAATGATGGTGTGAGCAGGCACAATCTCCGTTGGTGCACGATGTTCATCTAGAATCTAGATCGTCTCAAAAGCCAGCTGCATTGTCTCAACTGATCTCCTACAAATGTACAGTGTGTCCCCCCCCCCCCCAACCCTCTAGCTTATATGTAGCCCTCATGATACGATGACCCACCACACAAGCGTATCCTACGGTTATCGACTTGCTACATTGTTAGATTATTAGAGACAACATCCTCACTCATATAGCCGCTTACCCAGGGCGCCCATTTCATGTCTCTTACCCGCTTAAAATATCCAACAGGCTTAGCTTGTTCTATCGCATACATTTAATTAACAAGTTAGCTTAAATACTTAATTAAAGCTAAATTAATTATGATTTTTTGAAAGTTTTTTTTTTTTTTTCTGTTACTTGTTGGTATGAGTGGGAAAGGTGGTTACGTTGTAGGCAATGTTCCCCTCTAAGGTTTGTTGGTTCGTGTGCAAAATCATAAATTTGTGTGCAAATTTTTACAGCGTCAATTTTTTTGTGCGCAAATTTTACAGCCTACAGACACAAACACACCCTTAAGTGGAAATTAGCTGCGCGGTACGCGCAGCTTAAGGGGAACATTGGTTGTAGGAGTGATTAAATGTGTATATATTAAATAAAATGTGGGTATATTAAATGAAATATGTATATCAAATACAATGTATATATAATATATATATATATATATATATATATATATAAGTACATAAATGAGTTATAAACAACAAATACTGATAACTTTTGTAGATAATTCTAATATAGTACCGGTAAATTGAAGTATTGCTTTCAACAATTATATTATTATGTTATTATTATTATCAAAAAGTGTAGGCAGATTTAACTTATAGTAGGCCTATAGTTTTATTATTTTATCCAGTTGAAGTTGGTACTAAAATGTCCATTTATACTATAGGCCTATAAACTAATATACAGGCCCTAATTATAATATATTTTTCTTAAAAACTAACATGTTCATTTATACAAACTAATATCTAATTATAATAATGTTCACTTACATTTGATACTGAAATATCCTATATATATTCACTCACATATCACTGTGCTGCAATGCTCAAGATTTTTTTTTTTAGTTGTGGATTTGCTTTTAAAAAAGACTGGTAGCCCTGAATATAATTATTATTATTATTTTGGGAGAAATGAAAAAAAAATAATTAAAAAGAAAAATAATTTAAATAAGAAAAAGCATATTTTATTCACGCATAGGCCTATGTATATATATATATATATATATATATATATATATATATATATATATATATATATATATTAACAATAACGAAAATAAAGTATATTTCGTGGCTTTATTTAGTAAAAGTCATATTTAGCTATGTTTCCTTTAAATATTATATTTTTATATCATTTTATAATAAAGTTATAGGCATATAATATCAACAAAAGCAAAATTAGGGTCCCGAATTGTGGAGGAGAATTACATACTATAGTCATAGTGAAAAAATTGTTTTGAGGTCCTTACTAGAAATTTCATAACTTTTGAACCACTTGAGCTATAAAGTTGATCTTGGTGTTTTTGTAATTTGTTCTCTGTGCTATATACATCTGTAGTATTATATATATATATTTTAAAATGTTTTGAAATGTTCATGAAAGTGCCCATATTATCTTATCAATAAGACAATAACCTAACTAGCACTTCAAACCAGAACAACATGATTTTTACATAACCGACTCTCAAGTGGTAGATTACCGTTAGGGCACCAGGTTTACCCATGACTCATGGCATGTCTTATCATCTTTTGACCAGTGCCCCGAGTCTTTCTTTCAGATCAATTTCAATAACTAGCTTGCAGTACTTTTTGTAGAAATTAAGTTGGCAGTACTGTCGTTTCGATTAGGAAGGGAGCACATATTGAGATTCTTACATGTATGCATATTTTGTTTTGTCAAATTTTCAGCCCACCCTCAGTGCTCGATGTTACATTTTATAAAGGATTTATATACAAAAAATTATTTTAAGTGATTGTTTAGTTTAACTTTGCTTCTGTTTGTGGCTGGCTGGCCAAAACAATGGGGGTGGGGGGGGGGGGGGGGGGGGGGGATGGGAGGGGACCGTTGTGAAAAGGAAGCAGGACACACCAGAAGCAAAATATATATAAGAGATTAAACAAATGAAAGTTCCTATCATTGATTTGAAAACACCTTTTAAGGCTTCTTGTCCTTCAAAAGCGTCATCAGTGACAAATGACCAAATAATTAAAATTATTAAATAAAAATAACAGCAAAAAAACTTCCATACAGATGTATTGAAGATTTTACATATTTATTAATTTTTTTTTCATA